CAGAGCAGGGTTCAAGTCCCTTCTCGACTGACCACTACCTGGGTGACCCGAAGCCTCAGCTCCCACCCAGTCAGGTGAATGGGGAAAAGAGCGATTACTTTGTAGAGTTGCTGGGGGCATTTATAACATGATGAACAATAGTGAGAATCTACAATAACAACAGAAATTATGGAAATGCAGAGAAGACAAATAGAAGTAAAATAAAAACAGAACCCTCCAGAATTTCTAAAACATTCTTTGTGGGATTGACTAACCTAAGAATCATTCGGTAGAAAAATTTTAGGCAAACAAGAAAAGGTACACAGGAAGTAGGGAGGCTGACCTTTCTAAAGGAAAGGGCATTAAGGAATGAAGGTGGGAGGAAAGGGAGGGAAAGGGTAAGAAAAGGAATGAAGATGTGTCAGGCACACGCACCAGCTCCTCACAAGGACTGTAATCATTGTGTTGGCACATATGTGTGCATAAATAAATAAACAAAGTGCACCCATCCCCCGAATCTTTTGAAGTCTAATGCTGCACAATACCCAAGCTACACGTTTAAAAAAATGAGATGCAGTGACATACCCCATCCTCTGTACAGCTGCTCCTGACCCCGACTCTAGGCTGACTTTTTGGGCTGTCCTTTCTCCATCCTGACACACAGCTGACCTCGCTCTGTGTATTTTCTGCTGCTCGAAGATTCACCCACTCCATCCTTGAGGAGGGAGACCCTGCCAGCCTCCCACATGGCCAGCCATCTCAGAAGATGCTCCTGATTGAGGCTGGATGGAGCTGACAGTGTCAGGCCAGAGAAGAGTGCAGAGTGCTCCCAACATCAATGGGCAGGCTGGCAGATGCCACTCCACTCGGTAACAAGGCTCCATCTTTTAAAAGTAACTAGGATTCATGTTTTGGAAAGAGAAGGCCCGTGCCTGGGCCCAGGGCTCACAGGTGGCAGCACAGAATTGAAACACAGGCTGTGTCTTTGCAGGAGACAGAGGGAGCGGGATCTTTTCCACAGCAATGCTTGGAGAGTGGATAGTTAATGACCCCGAGATCCTGGGATTTTCAGGTGTGGGCTCTCGGCTGTGCCCTGCACTATCAGTTTTTTGTGTATTCTTTTTTTTTTAAATTTATTTATTTTATTTATTTATTGTGTGTGTATGTGTGTGTGTGTGTGGCCAGCTCAGCCCACCAGGGGGCGGGGTTGGCTGGCATGTGGTGCTGGGGGATTGAACCGCAGTCCCTGTGCTTTGCTAAGCTTGTTCTAAGTAGATGCTTTAGACCACTGAGCCATCTCACCAGCCTCTTTTGTGTATTCTTGATGGAACCAGAACTTTCAGAAGTACGAGGAAGGGAAAGAAGCAAAACAGAATGAATGCCCTGGAATGTGGGATGGGAGTCTAACCCCTCTCATCCCAGTCTCAGTTCCATCTTGGTTAATTTCCACGCATCAGGAGACGCAGTCAGGAGACCTGGATTCTAGACATGATCTCAGCACTCGCGAGCATGTGACTACGACTGTTTCCACCTCTGTGAGATAGAAACAATAATATCTTCCCTGCCTGCACCCCAGGGCTGTTGCAGGCACCCCGGCAGATAATAGGGGAACAGTAAACATGCCAACGCACTATCTGCATCTGGACAAGCCTGAGAGCTCCCCGGTCCTGGGAGTCGGAGCGGTGGGGCACGGCAGCTCTCCTCCACAGCCCCAGCTCTGCCGACTTGACCTTCAGCCCTCCCCACGATCACTGGCTTTGTGAAGGACCCTTTACTAATCTTTCAACAGGCTCACAACCTTGATCATAACTGAAATTATTTTACTTAGTCATTGCCCAATACTATCTTGGGTACTTTTTTTTGATGTTGAATCATTAAAATAATTCTGAATATTAAGTGTTGGTTTATGAATTAACAATAGTTTTATTTTTTGTGTTTGCTTTTTATATATTAGGCTCACAGGCTGATTTTAATCTTACACCAAGAAAAACTGGAGAGTCACTGAGAGTTTGTAAATCAGCACTAGACTAGCTGATGTGGGGTGGGGTGAGTTCTTAATAACAAGGTGGGAAATTCTCACAGACACAGGGGAGGGAGGCATTATTACACATGTTTCACAAGGAAGCAAACTGAAGGGCAGGGTGGTAATAATTTAGTCAAAACCTCACAGACAGTGAGTGGTCTGAAGCCAGAGCCTAAGTCTTCTAGGTTTAATGTTTGTTTACAACCCCTGGCTGCACCTGGCCTCAAAAACCCCCTCCATCTCCCTGCATTCAAGGCTGCCCTTACCCTGTCTCCCCTGCACCCCAAAATGGGAGCCAGGCAGGTGGGCAATGGGAGGGATGGGGATTGGTAGTCAGGACAGGTACGTGCCTTAGAGCACGAAGTGGTGGGATGGTCTGCGTGAACACTCCTGGGGGAGAGGGGTAAGGATCCCACAACACCCAGCAGTGACTCTGGTGCATGGTACACTTACCACTGTGACCTAAGTATCTGCCCCACAGGAACACCTGACAAGCCTGAATGGCTGGAATGCCTTCATGGAATGTTTTTTAAAAAATAGTGAAAAAGGGCAACTCACTTTGTGGGCCCCCTTCCACCCCTCTCAGACAGAAGCTTTTTCTCTCTCAATACATTCTTCCTACTCTTAGAAAAATAAATGGTAAAAAAAAAAAAAATACAAAGAAATACATGATTTCTTTTTAACCTGGAAGGAAATGAAAAAAAAACAGAAGAGAGAATTAGCCAGGGCTGTGTCTATGTGATGAACTCACACTGGGTTTTGTGTGCCTCTTGGGGAAAGCCTGGCAGAACCACAGAAATTAAGGAAGGCGCTGAGGGAGGGGCTGGGCATTGCTTTTGAATTCATCACATCTTCCTACCAAGGATTTCTAAGCCATCTTTCTAGTACCTGATTTCAGCTTAAAGACTTCAGGGCTCAGGCCCCAAGAATGCGAGGCCCTTGTGCAGTCTCCCCTGAAGGTCAACACCTGACACACAGACCCCTCTTCCATGGGCTCTCCCTTTCCAGCCCCGGGCCCTGTGGAAGGACAGCCATAGGGCTCTGCAAGTGACAGAGGCTTGTGGCTACATAGTCAATCTTGGAAAAGTGAGAAGACAGGAGAGAGATTTTAAAAATACAAATGTAATTAATATTTTTAGGATCTTAGGAGTTATAAAGCTTTGGGATCTACTGCTTCTTCTATTTAGCTTGGAGTATCCAGATAAACTATAAACTAGAGACTCTATTACACCCTATTTACTAAGAGGGGGGCAGAAACCCATGGAAGGTACTGGTCCTTATACACAGAAAATTCGAGAAGCACAGGAAAGACACAAAATCCTGGGTGCAATAGAGAATGAGGTCCTCCTCACCAGGGAGGTGACCCTGGAACTGAATGGAAAAACACAATTATACATAAAATGGGTAAGGAAGCGAGACTCCAGGCAGATGACCCTGCAAAGCCTTGAGAACCCGAGGAAACCTGGAGAAGTCAACAGGAGCAAGATGACCACAATGACAATGACGGCAGCCCACACCTACCTTTTCTTCCTATATGCAGATGCTGTCAGAACAGGCACTCTTAAGCAGCAGTCCTGATGTGTCTACATTAACTCTCACACCTTTCCTGAAGGTGAATGCTTTTTACAGATGAGGAAACTGAGGCCCAAAGAAGTAGCTTGCTTCTCAGCTTGTGTGACAACAATCTTGTGTTACTTTAAGATGTATAAGTTTCATCCTGAGAGCCAGGAATACAGAGAGAGAGAGAGAGAGAGAGAGAGAGAGAGAGAGAGAGAGAGAGCGCTGCAAGGGTGCTGTGCTCTAGAAAGCTTGGTCTGAGGCAGGGTAGCTGTGGGCATGGAGAAGCTGAAGCTGGACCATGCCAAAGCTATTTGTTCGAGGAAGACCTGGACAGGGGCAGCAGGGACAGAGAGCAAAGGGACATTCCCAGAGATCCTGGTCGGTAAGCAACTGTCCGGACAGACATGCGCCTCCACTTCCTCTACCTATAAAGCCAAAAATCACACGTTTCCATCTCCAGTCCTACCTCAAGAATTGCTGGGAAATTAATGAGGCAGAGCCCTGGGTCGCTTTCATGTGCCAGACAACACCCTTGTACTACCGGTGGTGCACATTAAAAGCTAAGCTATAAAATGTGCTTTGGCAGAGGACCTGGGAATAATTATAGCCTGCTAATTATTGTTAATTTTACCACAGCTTTGGAACTCTGAACTTTCTCAGTGATTCAGAAAGAGATTGCAACCCCTCCGTCCCATTAGAGGAGCCACACAATGGCAAACCAGCAATTTCTCACTGGTCCTATTCTTTCCTGCGTTATTTACACAGATACAGAGAAGAAAAAGCAGTCATTTCCTCTCCTAGAATTACATTGTAGACAGGACCCCGTGCGGTCTTGCTGGCTCTTTTAAATTTGCTTTTTCATCTTTCTGCTAAGTAGACATAAATGTTGTATGACTGTGTGTGTAGAAAAGACCTGTTTAACATAGCTTTTCATACACCGAACCCCAGGACCTCAGGGTTGTATCCGCGATGTGCTAACAGAGCGCTCACTTTTCTTCAGACGCCCCTAAGAGCCAGGCAGAAGGCTGAGGCCCTTTCGGAATCTGAAGGGGCAGCGCCAGGCGAGCTCCGGGTCTGCGCGCTTCTGCAGGATCTGCCAAAGGCGGCCAGAGCCGCGGAGCCTGGGAAGGGCGCGAGGCGGAGGTACTGCAGGCTTGGGAAACGCGATCAGGAGGGCGGCGGGGGGAAGAGCGGAGCGGGAGAGGTTGGTGAGGGGCTGCACCGGGAGGCGAAAAGGAGAGTCTGGGACACTGAGGACTGAGCGACAGGGACCGGGCGGGGCGCCCCGCGGGCGGGGCAGTATCGGTGTCTCACGGCTCTCGGTCGGAGGAGGGAGGGGCAGGAGGCCCATCCTATCGCGGGCGGCGCAGGGCGTGGTGTGGCGCCCGAATTCCCCCGGCGCGTCGGGGCGGCCGGGCGAGTCGAGGGCATAAGAGTACGCGAGCAGCCAGCGCCAGACGCCCCAGCCCGCAGCATGGTCCAACCGCACTGCCTCGCGCCGTTCCTGGCGCTCCTGGCTCTGTCAGCGGCGCCGCGTCCGGCAGGCGCGCAGCACAACTGCACGTGCGCCACCAACAAGCTGAGCATCTGCAGCCCCGACGGGCCCCGCGGCAGCTGCCGGTGCCGCGCGCTGGGCTCGGGCGCGCTGCTCGACTGCTCCAAGCTCACCGCCAAGTGCCTCCTGTTGCAGGCGCGCGCGCGCGCACCCCCGCGGGGCCGCTCGCTGGTGTCGCCCGGGCCGCTGGCGATTGTGGACAACGACGGCTTCTATGACCCCGAGTGCGACGGCGAGGGCCGCTTCAAGGCGCGCCAATGCAACGGGACCTCGGTGTGCTGGTGCGTGAACTCGGTGGGCGTGCGCCGCACAGACAAGGGCGACCGCGGGCTGCAGTGCGCGGGCGTGGTGCGCACGCACCGCATCCTCATCCACCTGCGCCACGACCCGGCAGCAGAGCTCAACAGCTCTTTCTTAGACGCTGAGCTGCGGCAGCTGTTCCGCCAGCGTTACGGCCTGCGTACTCCCTTCCTGCACGCGGTGCGCTACGATGCGCCCACCATCCAGATCGAGCTGCGCCAGAACGCGTCGCAGAAGACGCCTGGCGATGTGGATATCGGCGACGCTGCCTACTACTTCGAGCGCGACGTCAAGGGCGAGTCGCTGTTCCCGGGCCACCGTGGCGCGGGTGTGCCAGTGCGTGGGGGGTCCCTACCCGTGGAGCACACACTTATCTATTACCTGGACGAAGAGCCCCCCGAGTTCACCATGCGGCGTCTCACCGCAGGCGTCATAGCCGTCATTGTGGTGGTCTCATTGGCCCTGGTCGCCGGCGGGATCGTCCTGGTGGTCACCGACTGCAAGAGGTCGGGGAAGTACAAGAAGGTGGAGATCAAGGAGTTGGGGGAATTGAGAAGTGAGCCAAGCCTGTAGGTACCTGCGGGCCATGCAAGGGTGGGGAAGCTGACAGCCCAGACCAGGGAGAGTACCTGCTTCTTTCCTGGCCTGAAGGAGGCATTTCTCCTCCCAAGCCTACTCCGCCCTCACCAGCTCCCCATCAGCAGGCTTGATGGGTCTAGTTCTCAGCACCACTTATTTCTTACACTTTGAAGGATGTGCTTCTAAAAGTCTCCTTTGGGTCCAAAGTCAAGAAACAGGACTGAGTTATGGAAGGATGGCACAGGGACAACGATAAGAAGCAGGTTACCAACAACCCAGCATCCTTGGCAAGTGATGGGATCAGTCTTTGGGGCTGGTACTGTCTTAGGTTAAGTGATTTGAGGAGCTCTCCTGGATCAGGGCTTTCCCTGGAAAAAGAGGAGCTCATTATTGGGGGTGTCAAAGATGTCAGAGGCCTATTTTCCATTGTTTATGGTTCCCACTGTGTATCTCATGACCCAGAAAGAATCTTGTCTCCTTACCTCAACACATTTTATGTGTGTTTGTGGTCTCCCTAACCAGCACAGCCACCTCCTTGGCTCGCTCTGATTATGACTGGTGATAGTAATGTCTTCTTTTGTAAAATGTTTGTACATATGTTGACTTTGATAATGCTGCTGTGATTTTTTTTAAAACATGAATTTAATAAAATATGAGAAATACACAAACCAGAAGGTGGAGTTTGTGAAAACCCTCCAGATACCATTTTGGTTTCCTCTGACTAACTTCTACAACTCTTTTTTTCTCCCAAAATCTGACACTCTTTCAGAATGGACCATTTCATGTCCACACTCTGGTGTTTCCTAAGCTACCCTGACTGCTGAAAATGCTGTTCTTCTAAGATTATTGGAAACCTCCTTCAGCCTGTAGGGGTGGGCCTGAGGGAGGAGACAAGAACTGACTGCCGACACCAGGTAGGGGGCCAGGCACTTTGGTCATCTCCAGCAGAGATGACCACTGGTGGAGAGAACAGCTTGAGAGTTTGTTTCCCATGATGTTTCTCTTTGAAATTTAAATTTCTGCACTAGTTCCAGGCTGTAACTCCCTGTCCTTTCTATCACTCAGAGTTGGAAAAGTATATTCGTATGTATAATGTTTGAGACACCAGCTTGCTGGAAACAATGGAGTGTTGGTAAGACGAGTTCAAATCTTGCTTGGTTGGGTAGGAAGTCTCGAGACCCCTTTTTCTTTATCTGTTAAGCTACAGATCCCTTTGTCACTGTTGTGGAAATGACATAGAATTGAGATGTGAGCAATCTGGGCAATTTCTGACATTTTTCTCTGTTCTGAACTGTATCCATGCCACATATCAGAGCACAGGTCTGAAGAGGTTGACCAAACCCATGAAAATGCACGTCCTCCACATACCAAAGCCAGGGTGCAGGACCCTGGCATTGACTTCCTAGCCCACGTGGCTGTCAGGTGCTAGCAGGCAGAGATACCTTGCTTACCCATTTTCTTCAAGCTCCTCATGCTGTTGTGAAACAGCTCACCAAGGCTGCAAACAGAACTCCTGCACCAGCTACCTGCAGGGCCCCAGCCTCACCTCCAGGATCTCCCTCCCTCCTAGCTCCCCCTGCTCTGCTTGCCCTCTCTCTGTGCCTTAGGAAGAATGTGAGGTGTGGACACAGAAGCAGGTCCCAGCTTGTCTTCTGAGCCCAGCATGAGGCTCAACAGGTTTCGTTGCATGAGTTACCAGGGATTTTTCCACTCTTGCTTTTTCCTTCATTGGGGAGTTTTTAAAATCATCTATCCCCACAACTTGCATAGTTTTCTCTTTATCTTTCCTTGTAGAATGTTAGCACTACAAAGAAGGTCCTGTACTCTAACACACCCATTCTACAGAATAGAAAGGTAAAACCCAGATAGAAGTGATTTGCCTAACTCGGGCAGAGAGTGGTTGAACTGCCTAGAGAACCAAAGCATGGCTCCAGGTAGCTCTTCCTCCCATTGCCTCCGTGGGGAGTCTTTTATTTATTTTTCGAATATTTTTCTTCAATTCTTATCTATTCTTTAGCTTTTGAATACCACTTACGTGAGAGAGATACTTCGACTCGATGTAAAATGGATGAGCTTTGAAGTTCCCTGGTTGTGGTTTTCCTACTTATAAAACAACCTAATTTTATCTAGGATGCTATGCTTTAAAGATCAGACAGAAGACCTGAAAAGATTGTGTATTCAGCAAGCGATTACTCTAGGTTGACCTATAACAAGTTACCTAAGAACATGAGAAAAAATTACTAGCCGTGGTTGAACTCTTCCGTGGATGTAAACAGAATGCCGCCCTGCTGTTCACAAGGGCACCTGCACCCTGCCCTTGTGCTGTATGAGCAGTGAGGGCCACCCTGCAGGCCACGCTGGAGTCTTGAGAGTGTGGACCCCGCTGCGCCCGGCCTGCCCCACAGCACACTGATCTTATCTTACTTTTTAAACTACAAGTTGAGCAACACCGTCTTGAAAATCTGAAATCCCAAATGCTCCAAAATCTGAAACTTCCTGGGTGTTGACCTGGCATCACAAATGGAAAATTCCACACCCAACTTCATTTGACCTTCTCACGGTCAACATGCAGAAGCACTAAATGCGCTGAGTGAAATTGCCTCCAGGCTGTGCAGCTGAGGCCTCCCTAAAATGTAAATGAGTCTCATGTTTAGGCTAGCCTCTCAACTCCAGGATATCTCACTGTGTACATATAAGTATTTCAAAATCCTCCCAAATTTTTATCTGAAATTCTGTTCTGGTCCCTAAGCATATGGATAAGAGACTCTGCCTGTACTTTATTACAGGGTCTTCATAACAGTATTTCATTTTATTTTAATTTACTCTTTTATCCTAATTGGTTTTGAGTGACTGTATTGTTCCTATAAGGAGAAAATGAGAGACTGAGAAGTTAAATGGGTGATTGAAGGTCAGATGGGTGGCATGCTGGGGCTAGAACTGAGGTAAACTGCCCCTCTTAGCCATGTTCTCACCACTGGACTGTACTCCCTTGTTGTCATTTGTGAGATCGCAGGCCAGAATGTATTTATTTTCTTTTGCTGCCCTAACAAATTACCATAAACTTAGTGGCATAAGCAGTACCTTTGTTACCTCACAAGTCCAGCGTGGTCTTCCTGGGCTAAACTCAAGTGTCATCAGGGCTTGATTCGTTTTGGAGGTGCAAGAGGAATGCTTAAGATACGGGAATAAGAGCTGCACTTTCTTGCTGGCTAGAAACTGAGGGCTTTTCCATCCTGCAGCTGTGGCCCACATCTTCCCTTCATCTTCAGAGCCAGGAAGGCAGCGCCTCTGTCTCCCTCACCCCTCTGCCTTTGCCCCATCTCATTCTGATCACAGCTGGGAAAGTTTCCCTGTTTATGAGGACTCTAATTAGACTGAGTCCACCAAGCTATCCAGGTTGAGACTGTCCTGTCTCAAAGTCTCCTGCTTAATCATACCTGCAGGTTCCTTTGCCATATCGGGTGGCACATTCACAGGTTCTGGGATTGGGGTGTGGATATCTTCCATAAGGGAGAGCACCGTTCTGTGTGTAACAGAGGATGGCCCTGGGTCCGTGCTCTTAAGCAGTATGCCATCCTGCTTCTGTGATAGGTAGAGTCCACTTTTCTATTCAGTCATTGCTGTCTAATGAATGTACCCTCTTCCAATTTCTATGTTGACACCCACCATGTAATGACATTACAGGGTGGAGTTTGGGGCCCTTGTAACAGAGGCCCCAGCTAGACCAGTGTCTCTGTTACCATGTGAGGACACAGCGAAAAGATGGTCATCTATGAAGCAGATCTCACAAGGCAATCTATGGGCCTTTTGATCTTGGACTTCTCAGCCAAGAAAGCTCTGATAAATGCATTTCTATTGCTTATGAGCCACTCTGTCCAAATAGGTTTGTGTTACAGTTACAAAAGAGAGGTGTTTCCTCTACGGTTCTCTTCTCTGTCCCCCTTTTTAAGGATAGCTTTTCCAAGGAAGAAAATGACCTCTAGGAAGAATTGTGTATTTCATACATAGGGTCATAGGATGCTGATCCCTAATAAGCATTCAGGAGAGGGGTGTTGAATTTAGCTAGTGCCACAGGTTGCCAGTGACTGAGCGCAGCACCAGAACAGTGTCCTGCTACTGTCTTCATTATTCCATGCATTTCCAGCAGCCCCACAGCTGTGAGGTACATTCTGCCACTCATTCCTGCTTTACTGATGAGGAAGCAAGGCATTAAATAAGAAGTCACATGGTTGATAATGAATAGAGTTAGAGTTCAAAAACAAGGCTGCCCTCCTCCAGAGACTGCTCTCACTACCACACCCTGCCGTGGCCTGGGCACAGTCTGTTATCAGATGCAGGATCTGGAGGAGCTGTTTACAGATTCTTTGTGTCTTGAACAAATAACTGAGCAGGACACTCAGGAAGAGCAGCAAGAGTAAGATTTATTTAAAAGGAGCAACAGCAAGCAAAGCAGGAATAACCATAGGGTACTATTTAGTACTAAATGGAGGGAAGGGAGAGGCTCCCTCAGCTCCAGAGGTTCTAACTGTACTGTTAACAGGATCATTGGTGAATCTGAGTGTTTGTGGCTGTGACAGATCATTCCCAGGGACACCTCAGTGCTTCCTGGTGGGACCTTGTTAGGGGTTCTCTTACAGGACTTTGCTTCTCCTGGATGCTTCTGTTTTATTCCACCCTAGCACAAAGATGCTCTTTCCCTCAACTCACACAGGGTAGGAGTGGGCCAGTGAGAGGAGCTCATGGCCCCAACAGGGACGGCTAAGGGTCTTCTAAATTCCTGGGATTATGGGAGGGCCTATAGGTGGGGATTGACAGGCATTACGGCACCCTTGCATAGTTGACTTGAACTGAAAATCTGGGTGAAGAATGTGCGCCCACGCAGAAGTCTACTGGGTCATCATGGCGGCAATCAGCAGGGCGGGGGAATCCCAGAACCAATGATAAGGAATGGCTCCTAGGAAGTCTTTTGTTTTCTGTCCCTGGATTAACTGGGAACTTCCGTTTTGGATTTTCACACTGGCCAACCCTCCCCCAA